CAGGAGCGCGACTCCCAAGGGAAAAAGAGGCTAGGTGGCGAATGGTAAAACCAATGTTGGGCATTGCTGGAGGAGTTTTATTTAAGGCGAACTGTCAAGGGGTTCCCATTATAACCCAACCGCGTAAGGAACGCAAAATTCGGGAACATAACACCGATATGACGGAAACTAGGGCGGCAAGAGTGGAACAAAACACCAGGCATAAGGCTGAGCCTTCCACCCTTTACCAAGTATATAGATGCATTAATTAAATAAGAGATATTGTGATATCCCAACAAAATATCCATGTTCCAAACATGGAATAAGCTCCAATCTTCACCTGCAACTAACAACGCTATAAGAGGGGCTGAGCAAAGCGGTAACATAGCCAAACAACGGTTTGCTAGGACAAGGTGGGTTAGAGACTTGGCTTAACAATATGGGAGGCATGATAAGCAAGTGGTAGGTATCGCAGCATAGGCATAGCAAAAGAGCGAGCAAACTAGCAAGCAAAGATAGAAGTGATTTCGAGGGTATAGTCATCTTGCCTGAAATCCCGCAAGGAAGAAGAACGAGTCCATGAAGAAGACAAACGGACATAGTCGAACGGGTCCTCACAAACGCGATGTTAACGGAACCAACCCGAAGAAGCAACACCGGAAAGAAGCACACAACATCGTAAACAACCAACACATGAACATGGTATGATATGCGGGATGCGGTATGTGATGCATATGCATGATTTGGAAATGAATGATTGAATCTGGCCTCAACTTGGAAATTCAAGAGTGCCTCTGGAAAGGTGAGTTGATTTCGGTTGAAATCGATATAAAGATCACCAGAATCGGATGCACGGTTTGGAAATGACAAGCAAAATAAATATGGCACCGGTCTGCGATTAACAGCAAGTAGCCATCTAAATGCATCAAGATAAATATGCTAATGCACTCAAACATGGCAACAAAATACATGGCAGGGATCCACTCATGATGCTTGACAAAAAATAAACACTGAGCTACGGCTAATTCATCCATTAATAGGTTCAAACAAGCATGGCAAAAGTGCAAATGATAACAGGTTTCAGACTTAGTAAAATTAACACAAGTCTGGAATTTATCACCAGGAAGCAATCTTTAATGCATGAAAACTACAAGATACAGGAACTTAACATGGCAAAGCAAGGCATGACATGAAGCTACTCAAATCACTTAACAAAAGTCCCTTAGTGACCTTGAGCCAAAAGGGATCAGAAAATACAATTGCAAGCATGTGAACATAGCAAAAACACAAACAGATTCAGACTTAGTGAAAAACTGGAGCATGCAAAACAGTTAACGAGTAGGCATGTTTACGAGCTCGATGCACTCACTAAAGAGCATGGCATGACAAACTAAGCATACACCCATCAAGAAGACATAGCATAGAAGCTATACATGGCAAGAACATCATCATAGCATGCACGGATCAATAGCAACATCCTCGGCAAAATCGCTAAACATGTCAACAATCTGCCCGGAACATTTTATAGCAAAAGTAGAGCTCGATTGCCTCAAGCTAGGTTGCTCCATAAATGCAAACAAAGACATGGATGGATAGAGCACCACAATGTTAACAAAACATCCTTACTGATCATCCTCAAAAGAGGCACGGATTACTAGGAAACAACATGAACATATGACATAACAACAAAATCAGGACAAGGACTTAGTAAAATTCTAAGTCCCTGAAATCAGCATTACCGATTACGCTACTTTGCAAGCTTGTGCTAGTCACCACAAATATCACAAAAAATACATGGCAAGCACCTCTGTAAAGATGAAATGGCATATAACAAAACACATGTAGAGCTCAGGATCATAGCATGCACACATTAATCATGGCAAAAATGACAAATAGCTATTTGCTGAAATAGATCTGACAAATTATGCATATAGCCCTCTTCCAACAGCATATCGGGCGTCAAGATGAGCTCAAATAAAAATGACGCAATGAGATGAAATGATGTACTCGTCGAGACGAACATTTGGATATGCTACACGCATGAATCGGAACCACGGATGATGAGTTATGAGCGATGGAAAATGCATAAAAATTCTGAGATCTGGGGACTTTGCAGATCTCGAGGGGAAAGAAAGTCATCCTCTGGTTTTTTTTCCAGGGGAGGAGTTTTTAGGGTTTCATCTGCGCGAATTTCGGAGGGGGAGGTGTTTAAATAGGTAGAGGAAGTTAGGAGAGTCCAAATGAGGTGCGGTTTTCGGCCACGCGATCGTGATCGAACAATCGAGATGATGGAGGAGGTTTAGGTGGGTTTTGGGCCACTTTAGAGGGGTGTTGGGCTGCAACACACACGAGGCCTTTTCGGTCCCTCGGTTAACCGTTGGAGTATCAAACGAAGTCCAAATGATACGAAACTTGACAAGCGGTCTACCGGTAGTAACCCAAGGCCGCATGACAAGTCTCGGTCCAATACGAAAATATTTAACACCCGCACACGAAAAGAGGTAGAATGGGACACCGGATGACATAGGAGCGCCGGATTGCAAAACGGACAACGGGGAAAATGCTCGGATGCATGAGACAAACACGTATGCAAATGAAATGCACATGATGACATGATATGAGATGCATGACACGCAAGCAATGACAATGCAACAACAGCGAATAACTGGAGGACACCTGGCACATCGGTCTCGGGGCGTCACGAGATGCTAGCGAAGAGGAGCATCGTCGAGCAGGGTGTCCTCGAGCAGATGTTGGTCGTCGAGCATCACCTGTTCGCCTCTCGGTCCTGGGTGTAGTAGGTTTAGGTGGGGACGCCGGCATGGGCACGCGCGAAGGGCTTGGCGCTGGCTGGGCCGCGCACGGCCTTGTGGAGCCGCGGCCACGACAGCACAAGCGCGTACAGCCTCCGACCACCGTCGGTTGTGTGCTCGGAGAAGACGCTGCGGGAGGCGAGCAGGCGATGGACGGGTCCGGGTGGCCGAGCAGGAGCAGCGCATTGGCGCGACCCGCCCACACCGCGGTTGTCGCTCGATCCGCCACGAGGGGAGGGGAAGAGAGGGGGCCACGACGGGAGGCGAAGTCGCCGGTTCTGGGAGGAGGTGGGGAGGGATCTGGGGATGCGTCGGTGCGTGGGGAGGAGCCGCCGCCGACGAGATCCAGATCGAGCGGGGTGATCCTGATCGAGCGGGGTGACGAGATTCGTTACTGTTTTTTTAACCTGGTTAATTTTCGTAGGTTAACCGTCGTAGATTTTTTTAGGTCGATTTTCTGTCGCTGAACCGTAGTGTTTCACAACGGGCCTAGTTGTAGCATGCCGTTTTTTTGGTCGGTCTGGAGGGAGGAAGTGGGGGATCGCTGGATAGCGGGAGGTGGGAGGAGGTACCAAAAAAAACCAGGGAAGGTGGGACGAAAATTGACCGGCAGAGACTACCAACTGCTCCATTAGGAGTAGAGATTGATACCAAGTAACAGAAGCAAAATGATACAGAGCAGCATGCACGGATGACCAATGAAGAAAAATATGAAAAAGTAAAAAAACGCCGTGAAACCTATCAACAAAATAAAACACTTAAAGATTCAATCCAGTTGCAAAAAAATCACACAAGGAAGGAAGAAATATGCAAGCCAGCACAGAAGGGAAAAATGCGCATAAGAAAGACAGAAATATGCAAATACGCAGCCAAAACAAAAAGAAAGCTAGAATTGAGCAAATTGCAGCTACCCGTGAATTGAAACGCAACACACCATATAAATATTCAATTGTGATGGAGAGCGCTGCATATATCGCAACAGAAGAGGAAAGAGTAAACCTATACGGCGAGGATTTCGTGGTTAGCACACACACAACGGAAGCATGTATGCATGGACGTCCGATGTGTGCAACATTTTCATTGTATGATGTTAGTAACTCAATAGAAATGCTGCATGTATGACATTTTTATTTTCTGTATAATGCTTAATATGCATTGTATACTAACCTTCTGTTATGGTTGATAATCTATATCTTTTGCACTTATATTTGGTTTGTTTGTTGAGATATACGCACACTATAAACCTAAGGATGGTAGTCAACCGTGTCTATGCTTGATTATAGTACCGCAATATGCTTTGTCAGTGACAACCTAGCACATGCTTGATTATAGTACGCATTATTCCTATTGAAAGATGTATTAAATCTGAAATATTCATTCTTCTGATAATGAAATGAAGGCGAGAAATAATACCTTGCATTGGCAGAAGAAATTATGTTTCAGTAATTCCAATTTTGTTATCTTTTGTATGTCTTTTTATTCTTATCTTGAGTTTATTTTTTTCATTTCTGTTAGAGATGATTGTCTGTAACTCTTTTTTTAGTAGGTGATTGTCTTTAACCTAACCCGCAAATTGTACAATGCATAAGTTTGTTAGCCGTTTGCAAAGATTGGTTGGCTAAAATCACAATTTTTCTTCATGTACATTCCCATTACCTTGCATATTGGGTTTAGGAGCGTGTGTTTTTCTCCCACTGCAACACACATGCATGTTTGCTAGTAAACCTAACGAGAGGATACACTTTTATTTTAACATCAAAGTACTTTTTTATTGCAAGGTGATCACCCTAACAAGAACACCTTTTACAAAAGAGTTGGTATATCAAACGGGTTAAGAATCAAAGCTGTTGTTACTAGATTGCTTGATTGGCACGTCGCCGTCCTGTTCAAAATTTTGAATTTCGAATGGGCCGTGGAAGGCTTAGCTGGCAGCAGCAACAAGTGTTGGGCTCTCAAGTTCCTCGCGCGAGGCCTTCAAATACCCCCACCTCGTCGCAGCCGCAGTGATCCACATTCCACCCGCACCTGCGCTTCCCAAACCTCCCCTCTCCCCCAGCCTCCGCCCCACTTCCTTCTCCTCCAGCAGCACGCGATCCTCCGGCTCGTACAGGTCTCGTCCTCCTCCACCGCTTCCACTCGCCGTCTTCGCTCGTGCGTCCCAGTGCTCGCTCCTTACACCTTCTCCTGTGACGCAGGCGCGCACGCGGGATGGCGCCGTCCAAGCAGTACGACGAGGGCGGGCAGCTCCAGCTCATGGAGGCCGACCGGGTCGAGGAGGAGGAGGAGTGCTTCGAGTCCATCGACAAGTGTACGTTCGCCGCCTCCTACCCCTCTCCTCTCGAAACCCGCCCGCTGCCCCGTCTCCGGTGCTGCATTTACTTGCTTGTTCGTGTGCCTGCGTCGCGCGTGTGTCGGCATGTGGGGGTTAGGCCTGCTCACCGTTGCGTTCCGGGTGCTTCCGCCTCTAAGTTCGCGCGTTTCGGTCGCAATTTCGTGCTGTTTGGAGATGGGTTTGGTGCGGATTTCGCTTAGCCTCCACATTTGGTTGGTTTTTGGTGCGTGCAGCGCGTGGTCGCGTGTGCTCGTGTTGCGTTTGTTTTGATTTTCTCCCCTATTTCGTGCAGTCTGGGGATTAACTAGCGCCCTTGGTAGGCTAATTTCGTGCAGCTTTGCTGATTCCCCCCACTTGATTTCTCTTTACCGGTTAGTTTGTGCTAATCGCTGTGTGGTGCCGTTTTTTCTCCACGGATTAGTCTGAACTTAGCCCCAATTTTGAGCTGCCATGCGTTTAATCCGCCGTAGCGATCACTGTCTGTAGAATCCTTTCGAATTCGGCACTAGATACAGTTCAATCGCGTGGGTTTTCTGTGGAAACTTGGACCAATTACGGACGCGTTTTCGTCCACTTCGTGGCGTAGGGTTTAAGCCTGTCTTCCTCATCTGTTCCACTTTTTTTTTTCTGAATGTTCACCTGTTCTGTTCCATAATTACGGGTAGCTTCCGCGAGTTTAGCAAGTTTACTTTAAACATTTGTCTAGATGTGATCCGCGCTTGTGTTTTGTTTGCGTGATCCAATTGGTTCGTCGTGCACTTTGTTCATTGCCATGAATTTGAATCCTAAGCCGTAACCTTCCTTTTAACGCTGTAACTGATCACTCGTCCAAACAGTGATCTCGCAGGGAATAAACTCAGGAGACGTGAAGAAGCTGCAGGATGCGGGGATCTACACTTGCAATGGGCTGATGATGCACACCAAGAAGGTCCCAATCCCGTCAGAGCATAAATCTGCACGCATTCTCCCTAAAATTTGTGGTTGCATACTGAAGCTGATTTCTGGTGCACGACACATGACTGTTATTAGTTGCTTTATGTATTCAAGTTTCAACACATGATTGATGTTGTTTCAGTACCAATGTATGGATTCATCTTGCAGAGCCTTACAGGGATTAAGGGCTTGTCTGAAGCAAAGGTTGATAAGATCTGCGAGGCTGCTGAAAAACTTCTGGTATGATTGTTATCATCTTTGCATTGATTCTGGTTTACAACTTCTGTGCCATATTATTCTCTTTGCATTGATTCTGGTTTACAACTTCTGTGCCATATTATTCTCTTTGCATTGATTCTGGTTTACAACTTCTGTGCCATCTGTGCTATGCGATCGAGTCTTCTGAAATTTGTATTCTATTTGATTTTCAGAGTCAGGGTTTCATGACAGGAAGTGATCTCCTTATTAAGGTAAGGTTTAGGGAGCTAAGCTACTGATGAAGGACGACCATACAGTTTAGTGCTGTTTTTGCAGTAGTGCTACACCGCTACTATGCTAAACTTACTGTAATAGTTTGTTTTTGGAATCTGCTTGAGTGCTTTCATTACTCCACCTGTGTACTGCCCAGTTGTTTGATTTACTTTTTCGTATATTGAAGCGAAAGTCTGTTGTCCGGATTACCACTGGGAGCCAAGCGCTTGATGAGCTGCTTGGAGGTAACATATGTCGCCCTTGATTCTGTTCTGATTATTTCTGATGTTATGCTCTAACCCATTCACATATTTCCATAATTTGAAGGAGGGATTGAAACACTCTGTATCACAGAGGCATTTGGAGAGTTCCGGTCAGTAAATGTTCCAGTTACCATTTTCTTCTGGATTTTTTTTTGCAGGGAGCGCCTATTAGTTTTATCTCTGTTATGTATGATTTGTGCCATATTTCGCAGTAGATGTAGCAATTTTTAGTCCTAGTAATTTTTTAGTTGGTAAACTCTGATAAGCTGCTTTCACCTCCTTTTCTGCTGTCTAGTCTTCCAGAGGTATTGATGATGGTGCATATTCAGTTCCAACTTTCTAGCGCTAAAATCCATATTATTTACTTTGTCTTGCAGGTCAGGGAAGACCCAGTTGGCTCATACTCTTTGTGTCTCCACTCAGGTCCATTTCCTGCCTTGTATATTCTCGGTGAAACCTCACTACATCAGAATCCATGAATAACTCTGCTTGTTTAATCAAATGTATAACAGCTTCCACTCCACATGCATGGTGGGAACGGGAAGGTTGCCTACATTGACACTGAGGGAACATTGTATCCTTTGAATTCCTTAGTAATACCTATAGTCGATTTGTTCAATGAATTCATTTACATTCCTGTGCTTATCGAAACTATTCCCTTAACGGAGTTATCAGCCGGCCTGAACGCATTGTGCCAATTGCTGAGAGATTTGGGATGGATGCCAATGCTGTTCTTGACAATGTATGGCTCCTTTTACATCTCTCTTAACCCATTTAAGGAAGAATAGATCAAGATCTTTGTTTAATTCGTGATCTTTCTGTTTTAGATCATATACGCTCGCGCATACACCTATGAGCACCAGTACAACTTACTCCTGGGCCTTGCTGCCAAGATGGCCGAAGAGCCTTTCAGGCTTCTGGTACGCATGACTTTGCTGACATGTACTATCAAACTTACAAGTTGATAGATCTCAACTGTGCTCATGTGATCTTTGTTTGGCTTGGAAATGATAGATCGTGGATTCTGTGATTGCGCTATTCCGTGTTGATTTCAGTGGTAGGGGTGAACTTGCAGAGCGTCAGGTATTCTACTGTAACTAGCTAACTATGTGAAAAAATCAAGCAACTCATGATGTAGTCGAATGCTTGCATTTTATACACTTGCTCTAAGTGATGTGCTCTGGAACTGCAGCAAAAACTGGCACAAATGCTGTCCCGCCTTACAAAGATTGCTGAGGAGTTCAATGTTGCAGTGTACATCACCAACCAAGGTGTGCTTTCCAATCTATCCTGTCTGTTCCAAGAAAGAGCTCCTTATATTCGTGGATCTCAAATCATATAAGTTCTTTCCTTGTTCCAGTGATTGCGGACCCAGGTGGTGGTATGTTCATCACTGACCCCAAAAAGCCGGCAGGAGGCCACGTGCTGGCGCATGCAGCCACCATCCGGTTGATGCTGAGGAAAAGCAAAGGCGAGCAGCGTGTCTGCAAGATCTTTGACGCCCCTAACCTTCCCGAGGGAGAAGCTATATCCTTTTGCTTACTACTTGTTTACTGCTTGTGCTATTCATTGCTTTAATTTGTTTGGTTGCTGAACTCTTGATAGGATTGTTTTGCTCAGACTTGCACAGCTTTATGATTTAGTTCTTAGTTGTTAACCTCCTTTGCTGAAGCTTCACGTAGCACAAATTAGCAATGATCAGATGTCGAGAAATTGTTTCCCTTGACCACCAACACGTTTTCCAGATTACAACAGGCGGATTGATGGATGTGAAAGACTGATTGTTCATCCAGGGCGCTTCCTGTCTTAAGCTGTTGATAGTTCTGCTAGCAAATCGACAAAGGCTACTGCACCGTTACTCTGTTCTTGCCACTGCAGAGAAGAAATTGGGCAACCTCTATGCTGTTTATACCTCCTATTGGGTGTTCTGTAAGCTTGTAGTAGTAATGCCTTAAGGATTTGTGATGAGGACAAAAGTTATCTCGCGTGACTCATCATAAGACCTTAGCCTGATGTAGTGGAGATGTAAGGTTAACATGTTCTTTGCTTCAGGAAGACACCAAACTGAAGGATATGAAAATGAAATAGTCTGTCTTATTCTTTGAAGAATGAAATAGTCATATGCTTTTGTTACTTATATACACAAAGTGATCTTCCATTCTCTTTCTGTATGAGTAAAGGTGGACTCTATTATCTTGCATGGATCGAGCTCTAAATAACTATTGAAGTGAATTCCATTTTTTATCCTCTAGTTTCATGTTCGTGGCAGCAATTACAACATTTTGCAGTTTTTCCATGTTTTTATCAATTTTAAGCGAACTTGTGCCACAAATTACCCCATTTAATATTATTTTTTCTGCTTTAGTGCTGATGTGCATGCCACGTCGGCTGGTTTATTTTACTCTTTGTTTTTTTTTCTGGTTTGCTCTCCATTTGGCAGGGGATGAGTCCTACATGTCTGCCAGCAAGGGAGAAAGAAATATGAGTGAAAAATAAAAAAGTGTGTTTGGGGTTCGGAGACATCTCATTTAGTCCGCTCAACCCTGCCTCCGCAACTAACGGTTGATTGCGTTCCCTACAAAGATAGAGATATCTATATCACATTAGTTGCAATGCACAAAGGTGGATGTTTTCATGGATAAATGTTTAATTGTCAGCTTGCTTGGCGTCCAATAATCCAGTCGCCATGAAAATATCGACGTATAATAGTACCAGATGAGATCAGATGTGCATCTCAAAAAAACAAGATGCAGAGATTTGCAGCAACAATGCAGAATGTGGAGTCCGCCTAATGTTGGCTTGGTCAAGCTGAACGTTGATGGATCTTATACCGAGGATCGTAAAGTAGGGGTCGGTATGGTGCATTGGTCCTATGGATGACAAAGGAAGCATTACATTCTCATCTTGTAGAGAACTTTTCTCTTGTTGTGAAGCTTTGGAAGCTGAATTGTGTGCGTGCATGGAAGGTCGTCATTTGAAGTCCAAAGAACTACTACAATACGCGGACGACGCGCTCATTCTTCTGAAGGGCACGGTTTCACAAGCTGCACGTATCAAAGACATCTTGCAGGCATTCTTAGAATTTTTTGGGTTGCAGATTAACTATCACAATGTCACATCCTAGTTAGCCATGCATTAGAGTGTTGCATCATGTTTACTTTTTCATCAGAAACCTGAAATGGGGATGACAGAACCCCCAGTCCCCTCTGAATCCAATTAGGGTTTACTAAAAACTTTTTCAATGAACCTGAAATGCCCTTCTAAAATGTCCATCATTTTTGTCTTGGTTCAGAACCTCTGTCAAAAGTGGTGCACATTTTCCTAGGCCAGCTTAGGGTTTTTGAATTAAATCATAAATATTTGAATTTGGGCATTCAAAATTATATAAAATATTTAAATGCTCAAATATCTCCAAACTAAAATGTTTCATGTTGGAAATAATCCAACTATGGACCAGGAGTAGTTTGGTGATTTTAGGAGTAGCCTAAGTATTTTATTTAATTCAACAAAGTTGCAGAAGTATTAAAAAAACAGAAAACAGAAAGAAATGGAAAAAAACTTACCTGGCGCCTGCTCCCGGCCCACCTGCCGGCCCAGCCCAGCGCCGCTCCAGCGAGCTGCTTGCCGGCCAGGCAGGCAGGCAGGTGCCCGACGGCGACCGCAGCGCGCGCCACGCACCTGCTCGCCGCCTCGCCGCTCCCCGCGCCCGGTGACGTCGTGGACCGGCCTCCCTCGCTCCCCCGAACCCCCCAGACACCCCCTCTCCTCTCCAGCTCCTCCCCCTCGCGCTCCCCCGCCATGACCGACGCCACCATCGCCGTGCCTTCGTCGTAGCCGTGCTCCCCGCCGCCCGTGCGTCCTCTCATCGTGTCCAGGAGCTCCGCCGCTGTCCACTCCATCGAGCAAGCCGAGCCCCGAGCGCTCGCAACGCCC